TTCTAAAACTTTTATACAGTAGTGGAGAGAGGGAATATTCCTGTTCCTCTCCTCCATTTATTGGGAAAACTTCTAATATTTTATATTTGCAAATAATGCAAATGTGGTTTTAGATTAAATATTTTTTTTATCAAATCAAAATGGGGCCCTTTAGTTTTTGTGTGTGTGTGTTGGCAAGTGTCACTTTATCACAGGCCTTTTCTGCAGCTATTGATAAAATCATGTGTTTTTTGTTTTATATGAACAATGATGATAATTGTTTTTCTAATGTTGACCTATTCATGAATCCTTGCTATAAGTCAAACTTAGTTCCAGTGAATAATTTTATTTTGTAGATATTATTGTAGTTTTTTTTAACTAGGATTTTAACGGAACCTTACTTCATTGGATTGTTTTCATATTTCTCTTTTTCTGCGTTCTCCTTAATATGGGTTAATAGTACCACATCAAAAAAGGATTGAATAAAATACTTTTGTAGTTATTTAGAATAGTTTTGTAGAATGAATGTCCGTTACTTTTTAAATAATCATTAAAATATATTTGTAAACCTAATATTCTGTAAAATATACCTGTAAATCTATTTGTACCAAGATAGGTTTTTCCTCCATGTTCATTTATAGCTTCACTTTCTCTTTCTGAGATTCATTAGTCTAAAGTATCTGTTTATTTCTTCCTTCTTTCCTTTTCTTTTCTCTTCTTTTTTTTTTTTTTGCTAATTTGGGTATTTGATATTTTTGTAGTTAATAAGTTTCCTTGAAATTCTCTCTTTTGCATATAAAATTGGGTATAGTAATTTGTTTTAATTCCATTGATCTTTGTTTATTATGAATTCACCTTGTTCACTTAAAAAATTTATTGGCTTTCCTCTTAAATTGATTACAAGCTCAGTTTTTAAACTTCTGTTACTCATTTCTATTGCCTTCTTATCTTTAATTTTCAAGATTTTCCCTCTTTGTTCTTATTTTAGGTTTATTAACATTATACATTTTAAATTGCATGTTCTCTTAATCTTTTTCTACTTTGCTAATAAATGTTTCTTTTGAGGACTGCTTGTACCTCCAAAACTTTCTTATGTTTTCTTTGCTTGCTTTTTACACAGTTGTTAATTGTTTCTTTTTTTCTTCTTTGGCCTATTAATTATTCAGGCTGTGCTTACTTATTCTCTGTTTAGGCATCTATCTTTTGAACACTTAAAATGCTATTTCTGTTTGTTAGACACTTAAAATTACTCTTTATTAATTTGGTTTTTTTAATTAATTTGTTTTGTGAAAGACATAATTAATATTTTTGTCTTCTGGTCTCTGTGCTTTTGCAGATGGTCATTTTTCTTTAGTATTCTCATTCAGATGGCTACTACAGGAGCTGTTTCCAAAATCTAATGAATATAATCTGTTAGATTTTTCCATCTTTGAAAGAAGAATGTTAAGGTTTCTTACAGTAATATGCTATTGTCTGTCATTTTGAAATTAAAGTTTAACTTTCCTTTTGTGGATTTCGGTATTGTATCTTGGTGAGTATGTGATTGGTAATGATAGTTTATTGTCTATGGTGCCTTGAAGCATAATTGTAGCATCTTTCTTTTATCACTTCGCATTTGTGAAATTTTATTTTTGCCCTGTCCGATCATATGAATGTAACTTGTATTTTTTTGGAATCATCTAATGCAGCACTTAATTTTATTCTTTATTATTCTGTATTCTATTTTATCCTATATGACTGTTTTTAAGATGTCTCATTTTATAGACTTTTAAAAACTCAATCTTCTTTTCTGTTAAATTTTGAGAATTTTATTTACTTTTTAAAAGTAACTTATTGATATCTTTTTATGTCAACAGAATTTCTCCCAGCATTCTTCCCTTTCCCAGAGGTTCATCCCATATAACAAACTATATTTTTCAGTGGAAAGAGAAGGAAAAAAATCAGCAAAATAAAGCAATACATGAGAAATGTCTGAATATGTATAATATGTCACAACTCTGAATTGCCTGTGTCTCCAAAGGAGTGGGTTTGGAGTGTCTTCTGTCTCATCTCTTCTTCGTTATTCAGTTTTCAGTCATGTCCAACTCTTTTTGACTCCTTTTTGGGGTTTTCTTGCCATTTCCTTACTCTTAACTCATTTTACAGATGAGCAAACTGGAGCAGTGAGGTTAACTGACTTGCCCAGGGTCACGCAGGCTAGTAAGTGTCTGAGGATGGATTTGAATCCAAGAAGATAGTTTTCCTGACTCCAAGCCTGATACTGTATCCACAGAACCATGCACATAATTATCTCAGTAGATGTATAGAAAGCCTTTGATAAGGTAGAGAGTAGCAGCAGCAGCAATGATAATAGCTAACATTCATATAGTACTTATTATGTGTCAGACTCTGTGCTGAAATTCCATTCAAAATAACAAAAGGCCCAAAATACTTGGGGTGCCATCTACCAAATTATGCAAAATACTCCTTAAATAAGGAACAACTTAAATAGATAAATATTTAGTGTTAATGCTGGGCCAGGTCAATGTAATAAAAAAAGACAATACTGCCAAATTTAATTTACAGTTTTAATCCTTTTGCATTTGAGGTTATAATTTTTAAGTTTGCCTTTCCACCTGTTCTTTTGTGTTGTTTCCTTTTCTTCTTTTAGGCTAACACTTTCTACTTAGCAGTGATCCAGGCAAGAGATGATGAGTAGCTGAAGTGGAGATGTTGACATTTTAGTGAACTTTTTTTTTTTTTGAGGAGTTTGAAATGAAAAGTAGAAGACAAAGAGAACTGGCCTGTTGGTGGGGTGGTAAAATCGAATGAACTTTTTTTTTTAAAAAGAATGGAGGTGATTTTGGCATGTTAGTGGGGAATTGGGGCTCATTGAACTAGTTTTGCTTTGCTTTAGAATATTATTAATAGGTGGTTACTATCAATATCTTTTGATAAATCACCTAGGTATTTATGAACCTATAAGCTTCAAGTGATCCCTTTTTTGTTAACTGGGTGTTGTTCATAATTTGTTTTCTAGTCCTGGTTCTATCTATTCACTACTTTCCAGAGTTTGTTTATATAATTTCTGTTATGCAATATGCAAATGATTCTTGTATCTGTATCACCAACTCCTTTTTTTTTTAATGGGTACCTTATTGTTCTTTTTGTGCTATTGCTAATTGGTTGTCTCTGGCCCCATATTTGGGATTATAGGAATTAGAGCTGGGAGGAATTTTGTTAATCATCTAATCCAATATTCTTATTTTATGGATAATGGAAGCCTAGAGATGCAAAATGACTTACCCAGAATCCCACAGGTTGTAAGTAATAGAGCAGAGTTTCCATCCTAGGTTTTAGGACTCCAAACCCTATCTATATTTGTTCTGATTTGAATCCTTTTAGCCATTTAAAAAATTTCTTTCATCTACCACCAGGTTCTCCAGATAGACTCTCCTAGTAAAATCTTCTCTGGGACCTGCTTTTAAATCTATTTCGGTAGCTATAATCTTGGGCACATCCCATTCACATATATTACTGCTATAGAGTCTATTTCAGTTCTTAGTTCCAAGTTTTCATTAGGTGATTAATGAACCATTTGACATCAAGGTTCTGTTTTATTTATCAGCAGCCTTTTTACATTATAGTAGAAGATGGTATCATACTTAAATACTTTGTGAGAATAGATAGTTCTCATAAATCTTGTTTAGTTATGATATGAAAAGGTATTTAGCCTTCCCTCCCTTCTCCCCAAATGGAAGTTTCTCTGCCTAAGGAGAAAGGCAAGTAAAAATCCTTGGTGCTTTCCCCTTTGGGACTATTTGATCCTTCATTATCTTTGTAACTAATTTTTTCAGCCTGGAGAATAATTTACTTGTAAAGACTTTGGTAAAAAAAATATTATGGTAAATGGAATCTTTTTTGATGACTCTTAATTCTTTTAAGTAATGAAATCTTGGAATGACCCTGGACTTTGATTGCTGCCCTTTCCTATTCCCCATTCGCCACCCCACCCCACCCCACCCCCAGGAACCATTCCTATACTTCACTTCTTTCCCTCCAGAATTCAAGGCCTTTGAGGCAGTAGGCAGTGATCTATTATGAAACTTAACTGTCCTATACTATTCAGTTCGCCCTTGGAATTTTGTTAATTCATCCATTTTATTTGTCTCCGCAACTAGATTAATAAATTCTTTTGAGAGCGGTGCTGTACACGTAATAGTCATTTGGTTGTTTGATTTTTATAAGTTGATGGACAATAGCTATATACTTGATTATGATTTGGGACCATTTATCTTGCTTTTTTATTGTTTTTTCCTCACTTAGCTTATTTCCTTAGTACATGAGGTTATTCTTAAAATCACTTGTATCTTGAAAACATATCTTGGTAAACTGCTGATGCTTTTAATTTTTTGTCTAATTTTAGTGCTTTGTTGCTTACTTGGAGTATGAATTAATTAAAATAAAACAAGATATCCCCCAACTTCATTTGTAGGAATTCCATATTCCACTTCTAAAGAGCCATCCCCTATAAAAATATAGCAATTTTAAAGATTAAATTTAAATTTAAAGATTAAAAAAAAGAAAAAAATCAATATAACTGAACAATACATTAAAAAATTCTGCAAATACATGTAATGAGCAGTACTTGTGGATGTCACACCTCTACAAATGGGGGCGGGAAGGCCTTCTCATATATCTGTCTTCTTTTGAGCCCTTCTTGTTCTAAATATTCCATTCACTTCTGATTTCTTAATGTGTGCTTCTTTTTGTTTACATTGTTGTAGTTGTGTGTATTATTTTCTTGGCTTTGCGTATTTTACAGTATCAGTTTATGTAGTTCTTTCTATATTTTTCTGTGTTTGTCTCATTCATCATGTCTTACAGCACAGTAATATTCCACTACACTAATGTAATTAATATGTTTAGCCATTCCCCAGTTGATGGACATCTGCTGTGTTTCCAGTTCTTTGCTATTAATCTTTTGTTATTCTTGTCATTAAAGTTTTGAATAATCTGACATAAAACTATTTTATTCACAGGTAAAGTACTGAAGTATAGATTACTGACCTGATAATAAAAACTTGCAATAAAATGGCAATGTCTAGGGTACCCACCCCACCTCCACCTGGAGAGATGACCTGTGGTCCTATAGCCGAAAGTTGGTGTTATACACAGGCAAGTACACTTTATCAAATACTTTACTTTAAACTATAAAATAGTAAGATAACTTTCTTTTGAGAAGAACATTTTCTGAACATTTTGGGGAAAGGCAAAAATGTAGAGTACATTAGGAGTCAGGCAAGCCTGTATTGAAATCCTTCCTCTGATCTTAATTTCTTTTTTTTTAATATCAGAATTGTTTTTTGAGATAGTTTGCAGTCTGCTAAAACCACCAGATATCTTCTTTTTTTTTTCTCAAGGAATGTTATCTAGGCATGCTTACTCTAACCCATATTTGGAAAGCTGATTTTTGAATCTCTGTAAAGCTTTACATTACTGTTGTAGAATCACAGAAGATATTTTCATAGGCCATACGGTCCAATTCATACCTGAAATAAAATTTTCCTCTACAAAATACAATGCATGAACTCAAGGCCCTAAATCATTCTGGTTTACTGTATCTGGTCAGTTTCTGGATTTTCAGTATCATTCCTAATATGCTACTCAAAGAATTGAATGAAATACTCCAAATGGGGTCTGAGCAAAAGAATGCATAACAACACTCTTATCTCCTTATAAAAGGATTCTTTGCCTTTGAATCCAATCACATGACCTTTCTTGGCTACTATATCACACTGTTTACTCATGTTAAGTATGAAGTTTACTAAAACCCCAAAGCTACTGGCTAAGCATACTTCCTCCATTTTGTACTTGCAAAGGTAAGTTTTAAACCAAATGCTACATAATTCTACCCTATCAGGAATTCCTTTGATCCTGACTCTTATATAGTATTAGTATAGTGTAGATACGTGTTTACTCTCTTCATAATCTCATGTCATCTGCAAATTTGACAGAAAATGTTGAACAGAGTAGGACCAAGGACAGCTCAAAAGGGCACTTTACTACAAACTACCCTCCAAATTGACATTCTAGATCCACAAATCATCATCCAGCCTATACCACAACTTATATCATTCCTTCTCTCAAAAGGAGATAGTGTTTTTCTTATCTTAATTTCTGTTAGACTTGTAAATTTCAGAGAAAATGCAGATGTACATTGGTAGGAGTTACTATGATCTCCCTATGACCTCACAGGTTTGAGAGCTTCTTCCCTTGCCCGCACCCCAAAAGCTCTGTAACCTATATGAAAAATACAGAAAAAACCTACAAATGTAATTTTATTTTACTCTTTTAGGTGAAAGTAGTAAAATTTTCCTACATGTGGACCATTAATAACTTCAGTTTTTGTAGAGAAGAAATGGGTGAAGTTTTAAAAAGTTCTACGTTTTCATCAGGCCCAAATGACAAAATGAAATGGTAAGACTTTTTGTTATAAGCTACTTTATATTGCTAATTTTTATTTTCTGTTAGCCATCAGTAAGGAATGGGTTACATTTGAAGTGAATTATATTAAAGGACTACAGATGACTTAGTAGAGATGTCATTTGTATCATATAATATAAATGATATTTTCATTGTAGCTCACTTTAAAAGAAACTTTTAAACTCTTACGTTTCTCCATATGAACTTGTTTTATTTTAGGTGCCTGAGAGTAAATCCAAAGGGATTAGATGATGAAAGTAAAGACTACTTGTCCTTATATTTGCTTTTAGTCAGCTGCCCCAAAAGTGAAGTTCGAGCAAAATTCAAATTTTCCCTTCTAAATGCTAAAAGGGAAGAAACAAAAGCAATGGGTAAGTGATTTTACAAAGAGAGTAATATAAGGAAATCCCTGTGTTAATTTAAATTAAATCCCCCTGTCACTCCTGTGCTTTTCCTACTTTCCCTCACCTGCATTTCCTTACCCTACCTCTATCCCCCAAAAATGAAACAAACAAAAAACCAACAAACAACACAGAGATTTTTCATTTATTTGAGGTTAGGTTTAAGTGATGGCAAGAAATTGTGGTTGAAGACATATTAAACTATTTGCAACAGGCTGATATTTTGAATTACACACATGCATATCTGCACATCGTTCTAAAATGTGAGACTTGGAAGGAACTCAAAGGCTATCTAGTCCAATCCATACCTGACTAAGAATCTCCTCCACAGTATCTCCAGCAAGATGTCATCTTACTCTTGCCAGAAAACCTCAAGTGAAGGGAACACTTTCACTTTTGCATAGCTGTCATTGTAAGGTAGCCTTTCCTTACTTGGAACCTAAATTTGCCTCTAACTATTAACCGGATTTCTTAGGCCCTCTGGGGCCAACCAGAATCAACCTAATTCCTTGTCCACATGATAGTCCATTCTTTAATTGCCTGAAGACAGATATAATCCACCTCTGACCAAAGCTCCCTATTTTATTATGAAATTGATATTTTAAAAAATTGCTGTTAGATAATTTTATATTGTATTTTATTAGATTCAGGTTAGTGTTATTTTCTGTCCTTTTATTTTTAATTATCATCTAATGTATTAACTATCTACTTTGCCAACTATACTTTTACTAAATAGGCTATCTGCACTTTATACAAGGCATTTTTAAAAATATTAACAGCACATGACAAAGGACAGCCCCCTTTTTGGACACACCACCAACTGCTACCTCCTAAATTCACATTGTCTCATTAATGACCCCTCTTTGGATAAAATCATTTACTTAGTTCTGAATCCACTGTAATGTTGTTCTTCTCTTTATCCTGTTCACAAGAACTAACTCAGAGTCTGTCTGGGATGCTTTGCTGATATATAGGTAAATTATCTCTATAGTACTCCACCTATTCCACCAGCCATGTAATCTTGTCAAAAAAGATAGATTTCCATGACTCCTTTTTGATAAGGCCATACTAGTTCCTTGTCACCTCTCTTTTATCAGTGGAAGCAGTCCTGGACTCAGGAAGACCTGAGTTAAAATCTGGCCTCAGATACTTACTAGCTTTGTGACTCTGGGCAAGTCACTTAACCTTTGTTTACCTCAGTTCCTCAACTGTAAAATAGGGATAATAACAGCACCTGCCTCTCAGCATTGTTGTCAGGATCAAATGAGATATTTGTAAAGTGCTTAGCACACAGTATCTAGCACAGGAGGTTGCTATATAAATGCTTATTTCATTTCCTCATCTCCTCTGAACAAAATACTAAACAATTTTACTCAAAGTTTAAGTCAAGTTCATTGCCCCATAGTATGCATAGTCCAGTCTCTTGCCTTCTTTGAAAACCAAAACATCTTTTGCCCATTTCTAGACCTCTGTCACCTTTCTCACTTTCTATTATCTGTGATATCATCGATGATGCCCCAACCATCATGTATGCAAGTTTTATAAATTTTTTTCCCCAGTATCCTAGAATGGAGTTTGTTTGGGACTGGTGACCTGAACTTGTCAATCACAGCTAGTCCTTCAATTCTTTCTTATTTACATATCTGCGGTTTCAGATCCCTTTAGCTACTCCCCTCTCCCCCCAAGCTCGTCCAAATATCATTCTCTTTGGAAAGGGGAAAAAAAACAGAAGCAAAATGAATATTGAATAGTTTTGCTTTATCTTGGTCCATTGTCATAGTTTCTCATAACCCAGAAGTTTTATCTGGATATTACTTATCCCTTCAGTAGTTACTATTAGGAGTAGATTCTCAGAGCACCATAAGGAACTGAATAACCTGGAAGAAATAAAGGGAATAATTTACCTGAGAGAAGAAAAAATGACTCAGATGGTTTGTTGCCTATTTTTTTTTCCAGCAGTTGATTGAGTGAACATAGTTAAACTGGAAATATTTGAGTATCTTTTGTTATTTTCTCTGTTCTTGTCATTCACTTTATCTGTTACTACTAAAACCTGTTCAGGATTACTATAGAAACACATATAGTAATGTAGCCCATAATTACATAAAGATAGGTGGGAAGTGCTTTGCATTTGAAGTCAATAGTTCTTCATATGTGTGGTATATTATTGCTTATATATAGTTAGTTTTTTGGCTTAACACATTCGATATTTCCAGATATTAAATCACACCCAGGTAATTTCATCAGAGTACTTACCAAGCCTAAACTTTTATATTTTTTCTTAAATATTTCTTTAAATAAAAAGGACATTTTCATATACATAGTAGAATATAAAGAGTATTGCCATGTACCTGTTTTAAACACTATATTTCATGTTTTAAATTAAATCAACTAAGAATGAGTTAAAGTGAGGCAGTTCCCATTGTCAAAAAGTTTATATATTGTTAAAATGATATTTAAGCATGAATTCCATTATAATTTGTCCATTTTATTATCTGAGTACGCTGGATGTTGAATACTTTGCTGTAGAAAGTTTTTTTCTCTTTAAAATCTCTTAATACCCAGTGAATTTTTTATTGTATCATATCTCAAGTTCTCTCTGACATCTCTCCATCCTATGTGACTTTCATTCATGTCCTCCTGAACTTTTGCTGCCATCTAGCCAGCATATTGGATGACTTTCTCACTTTCTCCTGACAGAAAAAGTTAACAGTGGGGTACTTGGGCTGTTGACCTGCCATCTATTTTCCATTCTGTCATATAATTCCTTAATATTATGCTTCACCCTTGTTCTTCAAAGTTACTCCTTGGTTATATATTACCACCTTCTCATTCTGACCATTACCCTCTATTTGATGCTCATCTCTGGTTCTTAATAGACACTGACATTCTGTGTCTCACTGCTATATAGGAAGGCTGGCAAAATGTTTATATTGAAAAGATGGACCTATGCTATTGCAGAAACTTGCTGTCAGCAAAAGTTCTCCAAAAGCAATTCAAAATACCCTCATCCAGTTAAGGTTATATAGTGAATGGAATGTTGGGCCTAAAGTCAGTAAGTTCTGAGTTCATATCTGGCCTCAGACACTGGTTATGTAATCTTGAGCAAATTACTTAACATCTGTCTACCTTGGTTTCTTAATCTATAAAATGGGACCAATAATAGCATCTAACTGCCAGGCAAGTTGAAACTACTGCCAGTTTTAAGGGTGGTGCAGGGGATAGAGTGATGGGTCTGAAGTCAGGAAGATCTGAGTTCAAATGTGGCCTCAGATACTTACTAGCTGTATGACTCTTTGGCAAGTCATTTAGTCTCTTTTTGCCTCAGTTCTTCAACTGATAATTGAGGATAATAATAGTAATCTGCTTCCCACTTCACATTGTGAAGTTAAAATAAATCACTGAGCATGGTGCCTGGCATATAGTAGGTGCTGTATAAATGCTCATTGTTGTTATTGATTAATAGGCCCCATCTATTCCACATAAACATATTTTTAGGCAAGATCTAACAAGAGTGTGTATTCAGTTGTGGGCAGTAGGCATTCTTCATCCACTTGGTCTTTATTCTGTGAATGAACAGACCTTTGAGTGATTGCGTAGGCTCTGCAGTGTCTTGGGGGCTTGATGCCATCTATACAATGTCATCTGTAAACAGGAGCATCTAAAGAACCTCATCATCCACAGGTAATCACTCCACAACCAAGATTCTGTGCTGTTTGTCTCCATCACAGTGACTAATAAACTCTTTGCCTAGCATACATTTTCCTATTTAATGCCTTAATCCATCTTTTTGTGAGTTTATTGTTAGAGGGTGGATGAATACTGATATTTTTGTCATTAATATTTCCCAGGAATTCTAATTAATCTTGCTGTGTGAATAGGAGACATCTTGCTGTGAAAGAGCCTGTTAGGTGATGTTTTGTTCTACAAAGTCAGATTTTTTTTCATAATCAACAAATGGTAAATATGATTGATGATATTTTGTATTCTCTACATCTCTTTATCACTTACAAGAGATGGTAAATATGTGGTCTGTTATTGAGTCATGTTTCAGAAGCCCAGTTGTTCCTTACTAATACTCTTATTGAGGGTACTTTCAATTCTTATAGCCACCTTTCATAAAGATTTTGTGTATATGATAGAGTAGTCACATAGGTAAGTAGTTAACTGTATTCTCTCATTTACTTCTTTTTGGGGGGGGGGTAGGGGTGATATGGATACTAGCAAGCTCTGAGTTCCTCAGGTATATTCCATTTGGTTTCTTTGTGTGCTCACAATTGTATGACCTCCCAGATGGATCTTTTCAATATATTCTTGATCCAACTTGGGTTATTTTCCTGTCTTTGTTCTATTTAGAGCTATTTGTGATGTTTGTTAGTGCCACAGGAACAATGATGTTAGTGTTGAAGTTTGATACCTCCACTATTGTTGAAGGAGAAATGAAATTTGTTGCAATTCTTTTTCCATTTTTTTTATGTGTGTGTTTATGGTCTTTCCATTTTCATCCTAGAAATCCCTTGGGATGACTTTGCCCATTTGAATATTGTGCCATACATTATTTAACCTGGTTGTATCCTTCATTACTTCACTCTACTTTATGGACAGTATTCTTCATAATTTTCCATCTTCCTTTTTCACAAAATTTTATAGATGAATTTATATTTGAACATGGCATTGCCTTTTGCAGCCATCTTTCCCATTTGATAAGGAAAGTTAGATGTTTGCTAACTCAGATGCTATCTCTAGCAGTTAATATTTTTTGGGGGGCGGGGTTTAATGCCTGGATTAAATTGCTGTAATGGTATCAATGTTATCTCTCTTGTTTCTTTCTTATTTTTCATTTTCAATCATTTTCTTGAATAATTCTGGGTTAAATTACCGTAATTTACACTATGTCTTTTTCTCATTTCCTTGTTATAAATTCTGATCTTTGCTCTGTTGAGTTGATGGTTCACTCTGCATAGTCAGTCAACTGTAGGGTAACTCCCAAATGTTCCTGTCTGTTAACATATACTTAGTTTAATTCTTTGTGATGTTTAGAGTTTGTCATATTCCGTGACTCCCAATTCTTTTTGAGAAAGTGTTCATCATATGAAGCTATTTAAGTTTTTGAATATTCTACTAATCTTTGCCCTCTCTCATTTCTTTCTCCTGAACCATTCTTTGCCATTTATTATTCACTATCACTGTTTCCCCCCACCTTTTCATTGAAGTCATCGAAGTATTAGAATGTATGTTGATTTGACTTTGGGGGAATGTTCTTATCAAATACTTCATAAAATAGGTCCACCGTAGCCATAGTCACTGATGTTGATGAATAAGCTGTAATTATTTTCATTAAAATCTTTTTTGTAAGTGCTTATCATTAGTTTTGAAATAAGCAGTGACCAAATGTCTCAAGAAATAGTTTATCTTGTAAATTTCGTTTGTGTAATAAAACCTACTCTGCCAACTGCTTTGTTTGGCCCTTTAAAGATTATTGATTGGCTATTTTCCCATTTACCTGAACCTTTCTTCTGTTTTTGGTATATAACTAGAGTGTCAACATTACTTGATCTACTCTTTAAATCATTAGATAAGAATCTCAGATTTAGAATACCAGCCATCAAATTGAAGTTTGTTGGTGGTTGAAAAACTTAGCACTTTTTGTCCCCTTTCTACTGCCACTACTTAGGTAACCACAAAAGACCAAGGGCCATTTCCAATTTAGGGTTAGTTTCATGAATTGCCATGGTCAAAAACATTTCATCACCAGGTGTTCATCTTACTATAACATGCCTCTTCATAATTAATTACACTGATTTTCAGAAAACAGACTCAGCCTGTTCCCAGAGCCAAACCTAATACATATTTCATAAACTTTGTATGACATTAAAGAAGCAATGTGAAGTAAATTTTTTAAATTAAATTTTGGGCTAAGGTTCAGTAAATTGAAGGTGAGTGAGGAAGATGCTTCACATTTTTAGGATGGCCAAGGTACAGCATTTGATGAGAGCCCAAGTGAAATTAATGAAATTTGCGAGGTAATGATCTGGTATAAGTTGTGGAAGAGGCATTCTTAGGGCAGTAGATTATCTGGAAATAATTATGAGTCCCTGACATTGTACTAGTGTTAGATGCTGATAAGCATATGTAATATAGTGACATACTATTATTGTATATTTTTATCCTATAAAGTGTTAAATTTGTTTTCCTTTATAGCCTCAGACACTTATTTTATTCCTTTTACTGAACAAAACATCTAGAAATCTATTGCTAAGACAATGATGGAAGCTGGAAAGAATCATCTAGGTTTCACATACATACTGTATACACACACATGTGGCAGGCAAAAATGACGATTTAATTGCATTTGCTTTTTGTGACATTTTCTTAAGAATAGATCCACATAACTTTGAAATTTACCACATGATTGCCCAGTTGTTATTTTTATACATTTCATGTAGCCATATTGTCATTAAGAATAACTTACTTTAATTTGTGAATCCTGAAAGTTCTTTTTATTCTCTTTTCCACCAGAAAGCCAAAGAGCATATCGATTTGTACAGGGGAAGGACTGGGGATTTAAAAAATTCATTAGGAGAGATTTTTTGCTTGATGAAGCTAATGGTCTTTTACCAGATGACAAGCTTACATTGTTTTGTGAGGTAGGTAAAGTTCTTAGTTTCATGAACTCATATAATTTAATTTTGTAATTAACAAAAATAAAGCAAAATTACAAATTGTTGAAATAAGAATGCTTTTTTGAAATGTGAAATACATTTGGTGGAATTGATTTTTTTGTTAATGAGGGCCCAGAGGAAATTTAAAGAAACATAAGTTGATCTGTCATTCAATGTCTTCTATTTGATAAACTGTTTTATGTTGTTAGTATCTTCTATTGTATTTTCTATTGATTTTTAATATTAATTATTAGTATTTATATGTCAAGTTTTGTCATCCTAATTCTGTGAAGTAGGTAGTATAAGTATTGTTATCCACAATTAAGAGATCTACAGCTAAGGGATTATGTGACCATTCTGCATTCAGACAACTAGTATGTTGTTGATTACATGTAGTGCCTGTTATATCTTTCTGTCAAAAAAGGTAAAAATAACTTTTGGACTATAATTTAAAAACTTATAAAAGTGTCTAACTTGAGAATATTCAAACTGGTCATAAAAATAATAGGTTCCTTGAGAAATTAGAGTCAAAGTACCCACTTCTGTAACTAGTAATACTAAAAGGACCAGATATTCAACTGACACAGAAAAAAAAAATTTAGCTTTACTTTTAAGTAAACTTTTATCCTACTATCTATTTTCTTTGCCTTATGAATAATAAAAAATGCATTGTGTCAGTTGATGCAGGTTGGTCTTTTAATATATTCTTGAATTCCATTCCTTCCAGTGTTAATATGTACATAAAATCAATTGAAGGATCAATAATTTAGCTTAAATATCTGTATTTTTAACATATATACAGTTTTCTTGGCAAGATTGCAGCATAATTAAATGTCATTATGTTGTGACAGAGGAATAATTGAAATGTGCCTCCTGAGACTACATTGTACAAATACAGAGCATCTTACTTTTACTTAGACAAGTTAAATTAGCTGCATGAGGAATTTGTTATGAATACAATTATTTGGTTGATAAAGCAAATGTAACAAATTTCTTGTGGTTCTTCAGGGCTCCTCACAAGATCATTCTTAAGTTTTATTTAATTTTATATTGTAGAACACTTGCTGCCTGTGGGCTATTATTAAATTTAAATATAATTTTTTCTTTTTTTAAAGTATTTTTGAGCATTCTTAATATAGTAGTATTCTAACTAAGCTTGATAATTATCTTAAATTGTTCAATAGATTATGAAATATTTTTATAGCTTATTTTTTGTAAAATTGATTTGCTAATTTTTATATTGAAATACATTTTAAAAATATTTTGGAACACTGATAATCAAGAAATTCAGAATTAAGGCTGTAATTAAAAATCAGGTTCTTTTTTTTGCTACATCTTTTTGGGGGAAAAAAAGACATCAAGTTTTCCTTTCGATAATACCTTAGTCCTCTCCTAAAAGACCCACTTTATTGATTTATATGTTGACAGCTAGCAGATTTAGTAATTTGAATCCCCAAATACCTAACATTCTTTTTAACTGTTTTGTATATATGTGGATAGACTAGGGTATCCCTGAAGTAGTACAGAATCATATTAGTCATGGACAAGATAAAGAAAAGTATATATAAGCAATTTATTATTCCCTCCTACCAAAACATATCCTCATCTTTTATCTAGCCCAGTCTCACTGATGCGACTTCCTTCCACAGCATCACCAGCACTGCTTGCAGAAGAGGAGGAAGCGTTGCACAGAGCCTACATAGAGAACTGCCTCCTCCCCCTCCCCTGCAAGTGGTGCTGTAGGCAGGTAAGGCAGTTTGGTGCTATTCTTTTTGTACAAAATATAACCTGGCCTGCAAATTACATACTTCATTGTAGTGACCAGGAGGAAAATAGGTTTTTTTAGGAGCAAGTTGATTTAAAAAAAAATATTAAATGGCAATATAAAATTATTTTGGAAAAAAAGTATTTGAGGAACCAATAGGAGAAATAAAGCACTGGCTTAACCAATCTTTTTTTTTTCTTTTTCTGTCATCCAACAGATTACAGACTCCCTTACAAATACTATAAAATTAGATTGGCACCAGTCTGGTACCTGGCATAGATTTGCCAGAGTAGGGTCGGGAAGGTTTGGGATCTTGGGGAGATTGGCCCTTGAGCAACATGAAGTGGTATCATGTATCCCTGAGTCTTTAGGTTAGTTAGTATTCCCCTGAAAGCTGGGTCAGTTTTGAGGATTTACTTCCCATCAATGGGTCTGAGAGGCCTCAAGTAGTCATAAGTCCCAGTAGCTCAAATTTTTTAAGGAACAGCAAGGTTGATCGGGATTCTGGTGTAAGGCCAGCTTAGACCTTGAGAGGAATAGGCTTCCTTTCTACTCTTCCTAGTTTAAATTGTATTTTATGGGTCTGGCCCAAAAGTGGACCAGCTTTCATATTTGAGGAAAGAAGTGGTGAGTTTTTCTGGTATATTTACACTTTTCATTTACCCTTTTGAGGTGACATTTTACCTCAAAATATCACCTTAGCAGCCTTATTTCTGAATTTCTGATTCTGAGCTTCAGTCAGAAACATTTATAATTATAATTATGTACTCTGATCTCATTATTTTAAATAGAAAGCTAAATGTAATTTAATTTTCTCTTTTTTCCCTATTTTGAAAGTTAGCTGCTCATAAAGTTTAGCTAAGTTATAACTCATCACCACACTTATAAATTATTCCCCTAAATTATTTTGTGATACGGAGTATTGATTAAATTCTTTGTAGCCATATTGATGCAATAAACTTATTCATGGTCTAGAATATTTTTAGTTATGGCAGAATAGTACATTTCATCCATGATTAATTATGATTGTTTAATTTTCAATTAATTATTTCCTAAATAAATTCAAATTATTTTCTTGCCACCACCTTTCCCTCTACTCTTTATACTAAATGCATAATTATAGTTAAATATATAGGTAGAAGTTAAGCATTCTAAGAAATCTTTACACTTAGGCCAATTTTACACAGCTGTCATCTACATCATCATCATTTCTTAAATAGTATTAGTTTCTTAAAATATTTACTTTTTTGTTTACAGAGACTTATATGGTTACAATCCATACCCTCTAAACAAATTGTAATTCCTAGAGTATGATTCCATTCATACTTATGTGGACTAATAAAAGCCCATGCATGTGATTGTATGATAATATAAAGGGGAATAATGATACTAAGTTGGATTATAAAAATAAATAGTAAATGGATACCAGTGAGAAGTGAATAATTGGGATTACGTAGTGAAATGGAATTAGCAACTGTCATAAGCATTCTTAGTCTTGAGGTAAGTCCAGGGATAGGAAGGCTACTTCCTGGAAAAAAAAAATTGATAGATAAATTTGTCAGTTAATGGGACAGAAGAACTCTGGTCTATGGAATTATAAAATATAACACAATATATTGAATTCAGGCAAGGAATTGTTTCTGTAGCTTTTACGTGATTTTTTTTTATAAGGTGCTTTCATAACAATAAATAAAATACATACTGTCATACTGAAAATATTTCTTAGATTCTAGACACAGTGAAACCAGTCTGGTAGAAAGGGCATTGGAAATTGGGACTAACATTGTAACCTGGGCAAAATTTATAGCTTAGCTCTGAATACTACTGCAAGTTTTGCAAAGTGCTCTCCCTCCTCCTCCCCCTGCACCTCCCCAAGAAATTGTGAGGTGTAGGTAGGGTAAATATTATTAACCTCATTTTAAAGATAAGGAAATGAGATTAGGAAGTTAGTAATATTTCAAGGTCATCTACTGGATGTCGTATCTATGATTTGAAACCAAAGTCTTACTTACCAAGACCAGTGCTTTTAAATCATGCTATCTTATAAACCATTTATATTCTCTTGCCTTTAGTGGCTTTATTTATGAGATCAGGATTGCGTTAGATAATTTCCGAGGTCCTTTACATCCCTAAAGTCTTAACAGTATATTAAAGTCCTATATTCGTGTATTTTCCCATGAATAGAGGCTTAGCGCTAGAGAGACCTTGCTCAGATGGAGTTCATCCTCTTTGTTTTGTAGATGAGGAAACTGAGACCCAGAGAGGGAAAGTAACTTGCCTAAAGCCAATGAGCTGGTTATTGATATGGCTAGAACCCAGGACAAAGATCCATTTCTTCCTAACCCCTAGTCCATTGGAAAGGAATTTTAAAAATAGGTTTTCTAATTTTCTTGAGAAAATACAGTTGCTATATTTTGTTTATTTTTTTAGTTTCGCTTATTTTATTAGTAGTGTACAATTTAAAAAATGTTTCTTGAGTTGCCATGGGCCAAGAATTTATTATATAGTGTACCATCTGTGATGAGCCCTTCCATGCTTAGGCTAGGTCTTGGACAGTATTCTGTTGCTGGAGGTTGTACTCTTATCTGAGCAAAGTCTCTCTAGTGCTGAGCCTCTTAATATCCATGGAAAAATACATGAATATAGGACTTTAACATACTGTTAAGACTTCAGAGATGTAAAGGCCCTTAGAAAATATATAATGCAATCATGGTCTCATAAATAAAGAAGCTAAAAACTAGAGAAAGTAAATGGTTTTAAAAGACAGCATGATTTAAGATCATTGGTCTTAGTGAGCAAGACTCTGGTTCAAATGATAGAACTTATTTTGCTGCGACCTTCCAGTACTCTGGATCAGATATTTATGCCATAGTAAGGGATCACAATAGGACTTTAGTGGGTTGAAGTTTGAAATGAAGTATAGAGTTTTATAGCAGATTGGGATATGTCCACAAAATTTGAATTCTATAAATTCAAGCTTTTTGTATCCAGGTGGCTATAAAATTAAAAAAAAAATCCCAATAGCAGGGCCCACAAATTTGTCTAATTTACCAGTTTCCAAAGCAGCTCTTCTATATAAATGAGATAATATATAAATCCTTTCTAAACCTTAAAACTGTATAAATGTAAGCTATGTTTGTTATGTATTTTTGTTAGCATTATGTATCTATTCTGTTGATAAGTTTCTATGTGTCTATAGATATGTCCACATGTAGACAAGTGACATGTGCAACTAACTTTGATTTTAAAAGTTCTTAGCAAAAAGAAAAGGAAATATACATGCACATGTGTGTGTGTGTGTGTGTGTGTGTGTGTGTGTGTGTGTATTAAGTGGGAAAAGCCTACCTAATAAACTAGATAGAAATGGTTAACTCATGCTTGAACTTTATTATTGCAAAAATTTAATTATTTAATGCTTTTAAGTACTATTGTGATAGCTTTTGGCATATAGTATAGAATCACTTTGTTAAACACATGTTTATAAACAAATTTAACTTGTGAATTACTGGTCAGCTACGATGCATTGAGGAGATATAATTTATATATCATAATAATAGGAATCCTTATGAACAAGAAGCTTTAAAATCTTTGTCCATTCACTATCCCATAGTTATAAGTGTGGTATCATAACCAAACTGAAATTCTCCATATAATTTAGGCTATCCAGTGATACTAATATATGGCCTCTTATATATAATAAATTGAAATCTTGAAAATTAAGGAATTAATCAGTTAGATGAGTTTTAATATATGTGACACATGAAAATCTGGCACCTAATTGGATGTCCATTTCTTCCATGAATTATTATGTTCTATAGTGCCTTTTCTGTTATTTGTCCTGTATAGAAATAGATCTTTGTAAACCTTGTGTTATTTTTACTGCTTCACTCAATAAACATTTATTAAGTGCTCACTATGTGCCTGGTATCTTATTAAGTTTTACTACTTGTAATATAAGTAAAAACTTAATGTGTTTAGAAGGTGAATAGTCAGCATAGAAAGGTGATGAAAGAAATTACATGTGTATTTTAAAGATATGAAATGTAAGTGTTGGTATTATAGCTAATGATCACTGATACTCAGTTGTGATGGTGTTGTTTTTTTGTTTTTTTGCTGTAATTTTTTTTGCAGGTAAGCGTGGTCCAAGATTCAGTAAATATATCAGGACAGACTAATACAAACACTTTGAAAGTACCAGAATGTCGACTAGCAGAAGATTTAGGGAATCTCTGGGAAACCACGAGATTTACTGATTGCAGTTTTTTTGTAAGAGGACAAGAATTCAAAGCTCATAAATCTGTTCTTGCAGGTATTTTCTGCTTTTGTATCAAAACATGTGTATTTTTCTTTCCTAAACATGAATACTGATGATTAATTTCTTGTTACAGCTCGCTCCCTCGTTTTTAATGCAATGTTTGAACATGAAATGGAAGAAAGCAAAAAGGTAAATGAGGGATCAAAGCTTTTATAAGTTATTTTTAACATTTTTTTTAAAGTATGCATATTTGGAAGGGAGAACCTTTTAAATTCTGTTTTAAATGAAACTAGGAAGATCTCAGAAATGCTTATCAAAAAAATCCCTAAGTGTAAGATGTTAACCCAAAAAGATATAGTAGAACGATGGAAGGGAGAACATTCTTCAGTAAGTTTTGATGATAACATATGTAAAGCATTTTGCAAACCTTAAAACACAATATAAAATGATAATAAAGATGGTGATGATAATGATGATGATGCCAGTCATTCTTGTGTTTTCTCCAAGGTAACAAAGTTAACTATGAGCTGGAGGGGGGTGATCTCACCCAAACGCTATTATGTTAATCTGCAAATAAGGATTTGTGGAAGAAAAGTCCTGAATTAGGCCTCTGAAATTCAAGAGAAATCTGCATGTGTCCCTTCTCTGACTGATTACTTTTACATGTAGATTGGATTAAAAATAGATTCAGAACACCTTCTTTGCACTATTGCTATCTTTCATTCAATATTCGAAAAGCATGTATTAAGTACTTATTGTGTCCACTATAGTGTGTTAGGCACTGATTGAGAATTTAAATTAGGTTTTAAAATATGGGTAAGAATTGAGCAAATGGAGTAGGAGGAAGATTCTTGGCACAGGTGTCTGAGCAAAAAGCATAGAGGCAGGAAGGCATAACTTGGAGTAGGAGAGGAAGATTAAAAGAGAATAATGTTGAAAAGGGATGATGGTTTTAGGACATCAGCCTCAGCTACTCACTTTTAAGACATTGAAATCCAGAAGAATAACAGATGAATGTGTGCTAAGTATATGAAATGCTCTGCCCAGAACTATCAATGAACCTGATTAAAATTACATTGGGAAATGTTGCACAAAATAAAAATAATATATGTAATACAACAAAGGTAATATTATTTTGATTTTCAAAGTCAATATGCATCCCACAGGGATCCAGTTCCATTTGAGTTTGATTGCCCTGTGCTAGCCCCACTTACTTATCTGAAGCTGAACAAGAAGCTTCTCTACAGCTTACTTGACAAGTGATTATCTGCACCTTTCTTGAAGACCCAGTGAGAGAATCCCCTATCTCCAAAGCTGCTTTGAAGTTTAAGATTTAAACAAAACAAAAAAAACCCAAAGATCTTGGCAACTGGTGGGAGGGAGAAGAAATTGAAGTATCAGATTTTATAAATTGGGCTTAAGATGACTGCAGATGGTGACTGCAGCCATGAAATTAAAAGGCACTTGCTCCTTGTACAGAAAGCTATGGCATATCTGGACAGCACACTAAAAAGCAGAGATATCACCTTGCAGGTCTGTACAGTCAAAACTGGATTTTCTGGTGTGTGCCTGTGAGAGTGGGACGATAATGAAAGCTGAGCATCACAGAATCAACACTTTTCATTTGTGGTGCTGGAGAAGAGTTGAGAGTCCTTGGACAGCAAATAGGTCAAATCGGTCAATACTTGGTCAAATACTGAAGCTAATACTTAAATACTTTGGCCACTTAAAGAGAAGATGGGATTTACTGGGGGAAAAAGCCAAGTTTTGATAAAGATTTAAGGCAAAAGGAAAAAGGGGACAGCAGAGGATGAGGTGGATAGTGTCATGGAAACAAAGAATATGAACTTTGCCAGACTTCAAGAGATGGTGGAGGGTAAAGGGGTCGGTGTGCTATGGTCCATGGGATCAAAAAGAATTGGATATGACTGAACAACAACCTCCAAACAAAGTTAAGTTTACTTTCGGATAGCTGTTTTTAGGGAGTTTTCCTTTAAGTCTGCTTCTGTAGGATCTGTTCCTACTTCTAGGGAAAAAGCAGAATTTAAGTGATCCTTCTTCTACATAACACTTTTTCAAATACTTGAAAGACATCTAACATCCTTCCTAAGTCTACTCTTCCTACTCTTTTCCCCATTCCCTCAACTTGTCTTCATGTGGCCAGGGTTTATCACTCTCTGGACATGGTTTTTCCTTATAGTACCTAGAACCAAATAAGATAATAATGTAAATAATAATATAAGATAATAAAAGAGGCAATGTAACTGTGGCAGAGTGTAACAGGATTGTCACCTTTTTTCTCGTTCAGTTCTGTCCAGCAAGCATTCATTAAATTCTTTGTATATTCCAGGTCTTGTGCTGGGATCTGGGTATTCAAAGACAAAAATGACAATAGTAAATCACTTTCAAGGAGCTTTTTTTCCTTACTGTGGTAAAGCAGCAAGTCCACTGATATATAAATACAAAATAATTTCAGCCTGTGATAGGGAGGAGAAAATGGAGTGTTCTGAGTCAAGTTAGACATTCTAATGAATTGAAACATTTCTAGACCACCTAACTTTTATCAAAAGTATTAACACTAGTATGGAAAGAATTTTTGGTAAAGATATAACATTGGTTCATATGGACCCGATTGCACTATTTTCCATAGTATTGTGCTCAGTAATCAGGATGTGTCAAGTTCTAGGAGCCTTAGATTTGTTGGGCTTTTATACTTAGCTGACCAAAGAGCTACTACAGTTTTCTGATCCTTAGTCCTCTTTGACCAATAGGTCTTGAGGTTTTAGGGAAAAACTAACCTAACTTCTCAAAGGAATAGTTGTTGCTTTTATTGAGGGGATAGGGTGAGAGAGGGAGGTAGAATAAAGCCCAAAAAACTGGTAAGATCACAAAAGACCTCCTGTAGGAGGTAGCATTTGGGTTCTTCACTGAATACAGCTAGGAATTCCAAAGGTTACAAGTGGGGAACCAGGATAACAGGAACAATTTGTTTTATTCTAGAAGTAAAAAGTAGCATACTGGTGGGTGAGAGAATACTTAGGTAGTAGGCACAGCACATAAGTCAGCTTGGCCTACATAAGAGTGAGAAATGGAAAGTTTGGAATAATAGGGTTACAGATTTTCAAGGTTTTTTCACGATTTACAGATTTTTCAAGGGTTTTAAAATGTTTCTATTTTATCCCGAAGGCCATGAGGACCCACTGAATTTTTTTATCAAGAGAATGGCATGGTCATACCTATACTTCAGTAATAATAATCATTTGGTGACTGTGGAGGAGTTGCTTTAGAGTGTGGAGGGAATTGGAGACAATGAGAACAATTAGAAAGCTAATATGCTAGAAGTGAGAATTGAGGAGAGGTTGAACTAGAAAGATGGGTAGAGATGAAAAATCTTTTGTAGAGGTTGTGTCAGCAAGAGTTAGCAACTAGTTGAATATGGGGTCTGTGGGAGAGCAAAGGATACTTTAAGAGTTGGAACTTGGATGATTTGGAAGCATGATAGTGCCCTCAAGTTAGGAAGACAGGAATGTTGGGGGAGGGGATGGGTTTAATTTTGGAGGTGTTGAGTTTAAGGTACCTGTGGGACATCCAGGTGAAAATTTCCAGCAGATAGCTGATGACAGTGGACTGAGGCTTAACTACCTCTCGTTTACCAGGTCTATTGTACTCTAAACTGAATCTCTTTGATTCTGTTTCACTTACTCTGTTTCTTATCCCCAAGCAGATTCTGAACCCTTAGGAGTGACCTTAAAAGCTTTTTTATCCACTCAGTATTTTTCTAAAATGGAAGTGTATTTTGTGAGCTTGGAATTACTGGAAGGATTTTCAAGTTTCCTATATTTAACTCATGAACATGATAGCTCTTGAGACTTAACAGACATACTGACAAATAATTCCTGGTGTAGTTCTCAGCCTAGCAGTCAATGATTTTCATAATCATGAATCCTTTGGTAAGGTTATCTATAGGAGAAAATAAAACTGAAAGCTTTGTTAAATATTTTTAAAATGAAATTCTTAAAACATGGCTTTAAGATTTTAAATGTATAATAGTAGGCTATATAGGAAGAAGTAAACTGGGTTTCAGTTTATTTTTTTAAAAGATTAATTCTGGTTCATGTTTTTCTCTTGTATTTTAAATAACAGAATCGAGTAGAAATAAATGATGTAGACCCAGAGGTTTTTAAAGAAATGATGAGATTCATTTATACAGGGAAAGCACCAAACCTTGACAAAATGGCTGACAACTTGTTAGCAGCTGCAGACAAAGTAAGTAATCTGTTTTTAAGGGGCTGAAAAAATGTCCCCAAGCTTGATGTTTACTTAAAACTATTATAAAAAATAAAACCTTTAAATGTCTTGAGTTGTAGAAATAATCTGTGTTTTTGTAGATAACTCTTAATGGTTCTTTTGAAATAATATCCAGTGGGTAATGTTGAGAAAGGGGGTTTTTGAAATGAACGAAGTTATAGTAAAATTGATTGATTTTGAGGGAAAATATTTTTGGGGAGAAATTGGATTGTAAACTAAAAAATTTTTAATTGCATTTTTATCCCCTGTGAATATGTTGCTTTTGATAATCTCATCACAGTAAATATGAAATGTTACTCGTTTTTATTTTTGTAAACACTTATTAGATCCATTTTGCAAAGCACTCAATCATATAGCTTTTTAAGAAGTCCAATTGCGTTGTATAATCTTTGCTTCAGAAATAGACTTGAAAATGCATATTTGTAGAGAAAACAGCTTTATGTTATAGTTTGGGGAAAAGAGGGAATGTGATTGAAATATCAGAAAATTTACAAATTCTTGCTTTGAAAAGAATTGAACTTTTTCTTCTTCCCACAGAATGTTTTTGTTTATATTTTCCTTATACTAATATTAAGAACCATTTCTCATTCTTTTTAAACTTGCAACAAATCACTGACTGGGCTAGTTAGCTCCAGTATATATGGATTAATAAAGATAAGGCTAATGAATTAGAGCAAGTAAAATAGACAATGTTAATCCACACTTGGATAATAATCAGTGTTGGCTGTCTAGGAGTACTTTAGTATTATTACTAATATAAACTAATTCACTTAAAGAGCACAGTATATTATTGAGAATACTAGAACCGGATTTGAATGTAGGTTCGGCCAGATTCAGCAAGTCACTTAAATTGTCTTAACCTCAGTTTTCTTATTTTTGAAAATGGGAATGAACTAAATTACTACTTGACACAAGTGTTATAAGGATATATGTGAAGTAAGTTCTTTATAAACCTTAAAGTGATATATAATAATAATCTAGTAGCAATTATCATTAAATGGAGAAACTAAAATTTAGTTCTTATAAGGATTTCATTATAAAAATATGAATAATTGTATTTGATAATTTCCATCATTTTAGTATCTGTAAATGAATTAGATTGCAGGTATACTGCCAAATTAAAGTATATATGTGCAAATTATTATTTTATTTTATTATATTTTTTATTATTTTATTTTTAATATTTTATTATAAGTACATTTTTCTAAGTAGATTTTATTTTAATAAATCAACTGAGAAATGCAAGACCTTTGGAATTCAGATTTGCTTACAGTAACTTAAAGATGTACATACATTTCTATGCTTTTGATCCTGACAGACAACCTTATGTAAACAATACAATTTTTTATTAACGAAGACACCTTAATGTACTGATTAATCTTAGCCAGTCACATATGTATGAATTTATGATTGCCAGAATTTGACACTTGCCTTTAAAATTATGTAAAAATTAGGCATTGCAGTATGTAACTTATGTTTACATATATAATATGTGCAATGGTGATGTTAGTTCCAGGAGTGAGCGCTGTTTCTTCCATTGTAAATGAAAGCAGCTATTATGGATTTCAGTTCATTTTAGCATTAAGTAGAAGTCAAATATCTTTGAATTTACTAGTTTTGATTTGATTGGGTAATGAACTAATCAGAAGTATGTTACCTAATAAATTTTGACTCTTAATGACAACAGTATGATGTGGTTACAACTTAACACTCTTAGGATACACTCTTACCATTTAAAGTGATCAGTGTTGGTTTATTTGCTTTCCTTAATATAAGAAATTATCTTTTCTCTAAAAAAGCTGTAACATAATTTACTTTTGAGGAACACGCTTTAAAGTACCCGTACTACATTTTTCTTTACACTTTAAAGAAATCCCACATTATTATTATACAGACATGAAGGAAGTTAATGTTCTGAATTCTTATTTAAAATAATATTGATATAGCAGCTATTTAGCAACCCCAGAGAAAATGAAATATATTGCCACTCTAATTATTGCATTCAATTTCTTTAAGGACCTGCTGTGAACTGAGTACTGTCTTGGTCATGGTTATGGTCATGGTTTTGCTTCCACATCTGATATCTCCCAAAGGAACAGCAGACAGGTTTCAGAAATTCACTAATATAATTATTTCAAAAGTTGGGGGTGATGTTTTCATTCATTTGATGCATAGTGACTTTTCCTAGCCACATGTACATTTGGTCTTGATGTAGGTAAACCTATCAAGAAATTAAGTATAACTTATATGCAAATATATTATTTCTGTAGTTACATATTAGTAAGGATACCTGAAGTTCAATGTATATGTTAGGTATGGACAGAACGGCCTCTATTACTTGACAGTTATGAACAAATTCTTTGGTTTTGTTAAGCTTTTTAATATACTAAATAACTTTTTAAAAAATTTAGCAATAAATACCCAGCTGATGACAATTCTCTACTTCAGTATAGAAAGAAATGAGATTATAGAAGAAACTATTACTTAAGAACTTTTAGTTGTGGTTGTTGGATGACCCCTTACTGAATATATCACAGTTTCAGAAAGAAAATTTATCTTTTACTCAAAGTGTATTCATGTTTATTTCAGATTGTATTAAGGAAGTCCAGAGCTGGGACTAGGACACATTTTAATGCCACTTTTTACAAAATTACTATATATAATGACAGAAAATTCCACTTTCTTATGGTATATTTTGTGACAGCTCACATCACAATGGAAGGCTCTGAGCCCCAATACCATATCCTTCCTAGGCACACAACAATAAAGACAGAATTTATCAAGAATTTTTTTTCCTTTGATTCGGTTTGTGCAATTCAGTGCTACAATTTTCAGACCTTACCTAAGGCACTCAAAATCTTGTCCTGGCTCTGTATAATCATATCTCACCTGTCCCCTTCTCCCACCCACTCCCCCAGTTTAGTTTATTTCTACATACACATTTTAGGAACTGGAATTTTTACAATATTAATGAAAAGATATTTTCATAAAGTGGGTGGAGATTAGGCTTTTAAAATGTCCTTAATTTTCCTGTATTGCTTTGATTTTATATTCTCAATTGCATGTATGATAATTTCAATAATTAGTGGTTTGACTAAAGGTATAATTGTTGTGTGTTTTCCTTTCCAATAGTATGCACTGGATCGGCTGAAGGTGATGTGTGAAGAAGCTTTGTGTAGTAACCTTTCAGTAGAAAATGTTGCTGACATCCTTATCCTTGCAGATTTGCACAGTGCCGAACAGTTGAAAGCACAAGCAATAGAGTTCATTAATAGGTAAGTGATCTCTAGATTTTAATCAGCTTGTACCTTCACCATCTGTGCTCAGAATTCTCTAAGTATGCTTACATTTTCATTGCAGGTGCAGTGTACTTCGACAGTTTGGGTGTAAAGATGGGAAAAACTGGAACAGCAAGTAAGATGACATCAGATTCTCATTTTATTTTGAATTCCATAAATGGGAGTAAATATTGCTGTAGGCTTAACAGTCATATCTATTAATATAATTTGAATAATTTTTGAAGGTAGCTTTCTAGCCTTCCATTATCTAGAAATGAGAGTAGAGTAGAGAATAGAAACTTCAGCAGTTTGAAGAATTTTCATTTTTCTGTTCTTTCTTCATATTCATCTGTTTAGATCATGCCAGTAACATTTTAATGCCATTATTTTAAATGATATGATCTAATGGTGAGGAAGAAGAGAGGAATGTTTTAAGAAATAGTTCTAAGAAAACTCATTTTCACATGGTTTTACAACCTTCTGTGGTTGAAAAGTCCATACTCTAATTAAATGTTTTGATTATACTTTATGCCATGTCTAGAAACTATCTCTGCATCTTTCTCTGGTAATTTGCCCTAGATGGCTAACATTTATATAGAAATTTAAATATTATGCATATTATATGTAATACTTTACTTGCATCTTTTCATTTGGCCTTCACAACAACCCTATGATGAGGTGTAGGTATCCACATTTTACAGATTAGCACACTAAGATGCAGTGTTAATTAACTTCTGGTAAAAAAAAAAAAGCTCCTGGTAAGAGTTGGATAGGCTTAGAAAATTGTTGAGTCCTGGACTCTTTCTACTGTACATATTACCCTGAGAAAGTAAAAAATTAGGTATTGCTTCTCATTTGTTGTTATCTGCACTGTTACATGTTATCAAATATGGCTGATGATCTAGAAGGATAAATGACTTTGAAATATGTTATAAAAGGTAGTTTTTTTAGTAGGTTTATCTAAGTTGGTACTAGGTACTGTTATAAGATACTGACTTTGGGAAAATAGTAAGTAGACTTAAGTTGATCACTTACAGGAAAGTTGATCACTTACAGGGTACCTATTATGTGGTGTGCACACAAGTGCTCAGGAAACAGTGGTTGAACAAATGAATAAAAATTCTTAATTATATTTAAAATTAGTTGAATAGTGAATAATTCATTCATACCAGTTTGTCATCACATGGCTAAAAGCATGTTTTATTGTTAGTGCATGTTTTGTTTTTAGTTAATATTTTATATTAGTGGATTATATTTTTTCGACATCTCTTCCTAGGGAAAGTTTTAAAATATTTTGAATATTATGGCTGTTGCATTTTATTCTTTTTTAATACTACTTTTTATGAAATATCTTTAATTAAATGTTTCATTCACTTATTTTTCAGCCAAACAACAGACATAATGGAAACGGCAGGCTGGAAGTCTATGATTCAGTCCCACCCTCACTTAGTGGCAGAGGCCTTCCGAGCACTAGCATCTGCACAGTGTCCACAGTTTGGTATTCCACGCAAACGACTAAAACAGTCTTGAAATCTTCCATGAACTTTAGAAAAAATCAGTTGACTTTTACTCCTCCAGGTCCAGATGGATTCTAATATACAAACCATAAACAAGAATTGTTTTTTTTATCTTTGTCCGCAGAACAGAAGCTGAAAAAGCATTGTTTGCTTTTCAGATGGATAATTTATGGTTTAATCTTCAGCTTTAAATTAGACTGATTACTCTCTAATTCACTGCAAGGCCTTAAATTATCTTCAATGACTTCTCTAGTTCATATAGGCTAATTTTTTTTTTAAATTGTGCCTTGTCTTTTTGACTAGGCTATGCAGGATTGCACTAGCTCCATAATGCAGTAAAATTGATAACTGAAGATATTAAGTTTCAAAAGGATCTTCCATTATTTTGAAAAACAAAACGAATTTTATAGTTTTTGGTCCTGTGCTATCTCGAAGGTTAAAACTAGGCTCTCCTCAAAAAACACTTGAATTGGAGATGACTACAGAAATGCTCCAGTCCAAGTCTTGTGAATACGGGAGAGCTTGCTTACCTTCAAGGTAAGTTATGGCAATACACTACTTTGATTCTAATTTATTTTTCATTGTAGGGGCAAATATGCAATGGTTTGGCCTGAAAGAATTGTATTTTAAGTACAGTTTGTAATACATGTCTGTATGTTAACTGTCCAACAAACTTTGAGAAACACATAATAAACTTTTGCCTGTGTTTCTTCACGCCCTAGTTGATGATATTTGAGAGTTAAGGTTAAGATGTCAAAAAATTTGCTCTTAGGAATTTTTTATTTATTTTAACCCACATTTATATGAAGATTCCTGGACATGCAGAAGGTATACATATAATGACCAAATGTATATTAAATTAATGGGCCAAATTAAGAATGATAAATATGCACTTTTAATGTGTAACTTTTGTATACTGAGTGGTACATATATATTTTGCTTGTGATTGAATTAATGAGGTACAGTTAATGTCTGTTAACTTTTGGGGAAAAAAATTATATTTGGAGCCAACTGGGACACTCATTTTGTTACCATGGACAAGGAAAATAACAATTTAAGTCAACAAAATTGATTATGAATTTCACACACATTAAGTAACTGATATACTCTCCCTTTCAAGAAGGCACATAATAAAACAAGATCCTGAGCAGCTTGCTCTCTTCTTTTTCCTTTTATGAAAAATTGTGTGCAACTATATGATTTCTCTAAAGGGACGTGCACACCAGAGGAGACACCTCCCTCCCCCTTATGATAAGTGTGCCAGGCCACATTTACAAGCATTGTTCTCTCCTCTACACCCGCCCCCACTGTCTTAAGTTAATGTGCATTATGGATGATATTGAAATTCTGCATAATGTGAACAGGACAAACCATTTGAAAACTCCTTTTCATGGGCCAGTTCTTATATGAATTTTAGCTTTAAATAACATTTTCAGTGTTCAATAGCTTTGTTTACAGTTTGAGGGGGGTGGCATATCTGCAATGGTGCACAGTATAGGAAGAGCAGGAGAGTAACTGTTGAGTTACTGCTTTAAATTTACTGTAATAGTGATAATATATAAATTGATTCTAGGCAAATTTTTTTTTGTTTAATCACAAAGGAAGAAGTGTCTCACTGGAAAATAAAACATATTAAAAAAATATATATATATATTTACATTTATAATTTTATTCACAAAAGATTGTAATTTGCCTGTAGAGTTTTACAGTACAGGACAAAGAACTTTAAAATTTATCTTCCAAAATAATTTGTATTTCCCAGGTCTTCATTAATCATCCTAATGTTTAAGGAAGAGAATGTACGCATATTTACACTTAACACTGAAAAGTAAGCATTTATTTACAAACTGGAAAGAGTGTAAAGTCTTTACTTTAAAATCTTTAAATCTCTTTCTGTGGTTTTACCTGTATTGTGTCAGTTTTTAAATTGGAAGCATCCCTTAGGCAAGCAGAAAAATTAAAGTTGAGCAGAAGATTCCTTCCCTGATAACAGGCTCTTTCTGTCCTTTGGAGCAGTAAGAAGAGTAAAATGCACACTTCCCTGACTCCACCAAGAGATTGAGCTATGTGCGTTTACAATGTGAAGTTATAGTTATTTTCTCAATTTTTTTAAACTCCTGCTAGAGATCTCCGAGACTGGCTACCTGGGGTATAAATAATGTTTCCTCCACCTCTATTTAGTGAAGTTTTTCTGCCATGTATTATAGTAAAATTTAAGATATGCATATATGTGATGATATGTGGTGTATGTGTGTGTATATACACATACATATATATATTATATATATATATACACATATATATACAGAGATATATAGATATGTACATATACACACATACACACATATATCTCACACTGTGCATAAATTCACTGCTAAAAACTACAGCTCTAAAATACAGTAACTTCAATAATGTTTATTACTGTGTAATATTTACTTCAGCTTGTTCTAATGTAATATCACTGTCTATTGGAAAGCTTAAGGATTTTATTATAAAGATTTTTTAAAGCTCAATAGCACATTTTGTACCAAAAATGTCAAATGCTGTGCTGTAAGAATATCTACGTTTGTAAAAAAATGTCCGCTTTTCAGATAATTCAATGCATACCTTCCTTACACTAACAGAAAATTGTTTGGCATTGTTTTGCTTGTTTTTATTTATTATGTATATTTTCAGTTTTGTTATGTCTTAAGGAAAAGGTAAACAGTTGATGTATTCTCAAGTGGATGCATTCATTATTAGCTCTTTGGTTGCATTTAAACCCCATGCAGCATTCTCAGTGTACCCTAATGACTGTCCAGACGTCTTTGTCCTTTTGAATCACCAGCTTGCTTCTTTCTGTGTCCCCTTTTTTCACTTCTAGGGGCTTTCCCCTAGAAATGTAGTGATTAATTTCAAATGTTCTGTGTTATAAAGTAACCATCACAAAATGTTCTTATTCAGGCTAAGATTTTAAAACAGTGTGTATGTACGCGTGTGTTTTGTTTTTTAAAACTGTACCAGTTGTTTGGAGCACAAGTATGAAGGTGCCATAACATTTTGGCTTGCCAACATTACCTCCTTAAATATTCACGTCTACCACCTTCAGACTTTTTTGGAGAATCTTGCATGTGTTGTGTGATCATGTTGCGTGTATATACACGCCTGTATGTATGTGTGTGTGGTATTTTTACAGAGATAGATTTTTCTGAAAATAGGACTCAGTTAAATCTTAAAATGACAGATTAGTTTCAGATATTTCATTTCAACTTGTTTTATTTAGGAGACAGTTCAGGAAGCAAGGAAACTATAAAATACTTTTTTATATGGTCAATTTACTGCATACTGAACTAAGAAAATACAGTGCCTTTTTAGGACTTCTATTATAAAATTAAGTTATAAAACATTAAAATATCTTAAGTTTTCTCAAGTATTACTGATGCATATGTAAACTAGATTGAAAATAAATTATGAAAAGATTGGATTAATTTATTTCCCTCTTTGACATTGTCGTAAGCTTACAATTGAAATATGGAAGCAAGTGTTCTTTGCTGATGTATAATTGAGAACAACATTCCTAAAATCCAAGTCCTTTATTCAGATGATTTTATTTTAAAAAATGTAATGCAAGTAGTCCTATACAGTATTCTTGAACGGGACGAATTGTTTGGTTTTTTTCCCTAATTCAAACATGTCAGATATTTATATTTGCATTCTCATGGTCTAAAATAAGTATTTTAAGAATGAAATTTTAAGAGTTCATTATTTCCTTGTAAGGGTGTTTCATAGTTTAAAATCAAACATTTTAGTCCAGATTGAAATGTATATCCAAATTTTGAGTATTCACTTCATTTATTTGAAATTGACTCAATAATATTGGTCACTGATTTTAATGTATTGGAAAGACAGACACATACACACACACACACACACACACACACACACACACACACACACAGAGCTTCCTTATAAACTATCAAGATTAAACTAGTTTAACCAGTGCTCTGCACATAGTAGGTGCTTAATAAATGTTTGCTGAATTGAATTAGACACAGCTTATTTTCTGTTTGCAGTAAATGGACTTTATATTTGAAAGAGAATTTGTGGGAATTCTTTAGATGTTTGGCTTCATCATTATGCACAGCAGTCCAGTTAATTCTGTATTCCGTGTTTAGAATGAAGGCTTAACTTAAATGAGTCCTGTTTTGGAAATAAAAATATTGTTATGATGATTTAAAGACCAGTATTGGGGTGGGTATGATTTAGAAAATTCATAATATATGTATAAACACTTGCATCAAACCGGCCAGCCTCTTTTTTTAATCAGCTGATGTTAATGTTCAGATACTTTTTGTATCTTGTTGCTGAAAATATTTTTGCATTTCAGCACATCAAGTTACAATAAAGTTATTACTTATGCAGAATCATTTTGTTCCCTTTGCATTTATTGGAAAATATATAAGCTTTTCATTTTGTATTGTTTTGCTATACTTTTTAAAATGGCCAAGTACTCAATAGCATAAGTCTTATCAAGTAATGTAAATCAACTTTTATTTTTATCCAGGGAGATTGGTCACCCCGCCCCCCAAACAACAACAACAACAAAATAACCCTTTCGTCAATGAGTTGAAAATACATTTATCCCAAACTAGATATATCAGCTCATGCATCCTCATTAAAGCCTTTTGCAGCTTATGAAACAGAGTGTGATCATACAAAAACTCGTTAATATTCCACTATTCCCCCTCTTGCTTCATACTGTCTAACTTTACCTACTTTTACTCGTGGGAAGGAAGGCTGGGAGACTGGGTAGTCCTAGACTGTTGCGGGGAGGGGGGGAGGTACGCGTGTCTGTGTGTGTGTTTGTGTGTTTCTGTCCAGGGCTTGAGCTTCTGCTCAATAAAATTGTGAGAGAGAAAAAAAAGTTATTGAATCAATTTGGAGAGTCACCTAGTAAGTGATTAGAATGGATAGAAGTTAAAGCCTGAGAGTCCTCCTGACCAGTATATAGGTAGTGAATTATAGGTTATGTGGTTCATCCTAAATAGAAAGAGGAAAAGAGTCAAGTAGTTACTTACATTTTTATTTAGAAGTCTTTCAAATGGATATGTAATTGCCATTCTAATGTGGACTCTCTCTCTTCCCTCCTCCTCCCCATTAGTAAAATAGTTAAAGCTATTTCTATCTCCTGGGATAGTTTCAAAGGATATGAAATGAAAAGCATAGTTTAGTGACCGGCAGTAGATGTCATATAGGCGGTTCCTTTGGTCTCTTAGAATTATGTAGAATAGATCATTGAAAGATAATTTCTTGTTAATATCAAAGATTATTTTGTTATCTGAATATAGGCTGATGTTGATGTTACCTAAGGTAGCTGTATGTATTTTGACAGTTTTCATTCAGCAAACATTTATGTGTTGTTGAACATTTGCCACAGTCCAGTTATTTTAATGTTTATGGTCAATGTAGTTCCCAAATCAAATTTGTGTCCCAAAATTGATGTAAAATTGAAACAATTCTGCCTCAGACTTTTACTGTTTTTTGTTTTTCGTGAGAAAAATGAAGTCCGGAAAGTATATGACTTGCCCAAGTAATACTTGACAGAGCCAGGATTCAAACCTAAATTCATTGAGTATTCTTTCCTACCTCAAGCACCACTTTGAAAACCCCTTTACTTCCCTGATTACACAATTTCCCAATGTCTTGAACTCTCAAGAACCATTTTTTTCTCACCTAATTTCAGTCACACATTAATATGATCAAGACTTTGATTTCGTATCCTCCAAGTTCCATAACTTCGCTCTGACCATATATTCTGCTTCATTTTCAACACCTGTTTTGTTCTCATCCATGAATAATAGTTTCTTTACTGCTACTTATTTATCTAGTTTGTTTCCCTCATTCTGGCTTAATGTTTTGGCTGCAGATGGCCTAGACTGTGTAATCTTCACTTTAATGCGTCACTAGCCATTCTGGAGTCCATTTGCCTTCTTATTCTGGATCTCCTAATCCTCATTCGTAGCTAATCTCCCCTATTCTGCATTTCATAAGTCTTTTTTCTATGCCACTAAGTGATAGTAGAAAAAGTTAACATTCTTACCTACAACATTTATCAAATTTACTAAGTATTTATTACATGTCTACTATGTTTAAGAGAAGGCTCTTGACAGCTGCCGGATAGTCCTTTTCCATTCCTTATAAAGCCTGTCTCATTGTTGAGATAGAACCTTTTTCCTTTACCTAGAGCAGATGACTGGCTACTTCATTAAGAAGACTGAGGCCATCTGAAGGGAACTCAAAGGAAAGCCTGCATCTAGTGTGAGAGGACATGGACTCAAATTTTGTCTTATGTTCACTGTTCATGTAACCCTAGGAAAGTTGACCTGCTTAAGACTCATTTTCGTTATCTGAAAAATGAAAAGTTTAGACCACGTGGCCACTGAGGGTTCCTTCCAGTGTTAAGTCTATGATCCGGTGGCCTATGCTTCGCTCCTCGAAACTTCTTAGCAATATCATGCACTGTCCTCCACTATATTCTTGCATCCTTAATTTCATCTTCTTGCTCACTACAACTTTGTTCATCAATTTTCTTTAGGATCATCTTTCCTTCCCTCTGGTTCCTTTTAATCTACCTAAAATATACTCATCTCCCTAACCCTAAAAAAGCTCTCTTGAGATACTTTTACCTCATCTCACTACTGCCCTCTTTCTTAATCTTAATCTTACAGACAGTGCATTAGACAGTGCTGGGCCTTAAGGACTTGAAGATAACTTGAGTCAGGAAGACTTGAGTTCAAATACAGCTGTATGGACTTGGACTAGCTGTGTAACCCTGAGCAAGGCATTTAACCTCAATTTTCTCAACTATAAAATGGGAATAATAATAGCACTTACCTCATCTTAACTCATGATTGTTATGAGGGTCCAATAAGATGTTTGTAAAGCTCTTAGCAAGTGACTAGCAAGTGATAGGCATTTAATAGGTGTTTATTTCTTTCTTCCCTTACCCCCAGACTTGTGAAAAGGTTGTCTACATTGAATATTTCTACTGTATTGCCATTTAATATCTCAATTAAACCCTTGTAACCTATCTTCTGGCCCTTCATCAGTCTTCTGAAATTGTTTTCAAAGGTCACCAATGACTAATCACCAAATCAATGTGGGTACAATGAGGGAGAAAGCACTGGATTTGAAGTCATAGGACCTATGTTCAAATTTCTGCTTCTACTCCTGCTCCTTACTATCTATGTGACTTTGGACAAGTAAAGCTTCTTATATAAAGTGAGAGGCACCTTCTAGCCCAGGAAATGTTCCTATGAAATCCAGTGTCCCTTATTTTTGTTTTATTTTTTCCAGTTCTTATTCTAATCCTCTTCTTATCCTCTAACTTCTGTAGAGTTAGGCACTAATTAATCAATAAAAACTATGTGCAGCCAAGCTATACACAAGAAAAATAGTCAACAGTAAACAAAATGAAAGCACTAGAATTAAAGAAATAAAGAATTGGGAAAGGCTTCTTATAGAAGGTAGAATTTTAGGTCAGACTTGAAGTCAGGTGATGGGAGGAGAGCATTACAGATATGAGGGACAACCAGTTGAAAAATGTATAGAGCTAGACGTTGGGGTCTTGAGGAATAGCAGTGAGCCAGTGTCACTGGATTGCAGAATATTTGGGGGAATGTGTTGTATAAAGACTAAAAAGCTATGGGAGGCAGGTTAAAAATGGCTTTGAATACCAAAAAAAAAGGCATTTCACTTTGGGAAGATCACTTTGACAGCTGAGTGAAGGATGGAGTGGAATGGAGAGAGATTGTGGGGAAATTAACTCACAGGATATTGCAGTAGTCCAGGCATGAGGTGATGAGAGGCCATTCCAAGGTAGTAGGCATGTCAGAAGAGAGAAGAGGGCATACCAGAGATGTTACAAAGATGAAATCAGCAAGCCTTGCAACAGATTGGAGATTTGGAGGAAAACACCTAAATTGTGAGCCTTGGTATCTGGAAGATGTTGGTACCCTCACATTAGCAAAAGGGAAGTTAAGAAGAGGGGAAGATATAAGATTGTCGTTCAAGAGAGATGTTGAGTCTAGATTAGTAGATTTTAGAATCATTAGCATAGAGATTATAACTTCATCCATGGGAACTTATAAGTTAAGTGAAATAGTATAGAGGGAGAAGAGGGCCCAGGATAAGAGTCCTATAGTACACCTAGTGTGTGTGACCTGGTTGAAGATGCTGCAAAGGAGACTGAGAAGTGGTCAGTTGGCTTGGAGGAGGAGAAGGAGAGAGTAGTGTCAAAGAAAACCAGAATAGAGCATCAAGGAGAAGAGGGTGATCAACAGTTACAAAGGCTACAGAGAGGTTAAGAAGTTTGAGAACTGAGAAAAGACTGTTAGATTTGCTAATTAAGGGATTGTTCCTAACTTTGGCGATAGCAGCATCAGTTGAATGGTGAGATCAGAAGCCAGACTGTAGATAGTTACTAGTGAGAGGGGAAAGTAAGTAGAGAGATATATTACAAATAGCCTCCTAGAGTTTACCCACGAAAGGGAGGAGAGAGATTTGGAATTATAGTTAAGCAGAGGTGGATGTTCAGCCCTTACTATATTCTTAACTCCAGAGATGCCGCACTGCAGTATCTATGTGCCATCTCTTTCTCTGCTATGTTCTTGTAGTACTTTAAGGAAAGTGTTCCCTAGGGGTTTTTTTTGTTTGTTTGTTAGTTTTTGTTTATTTTTGCCAAATGTAAGAAACTTTAGCATCTGTCTTGACCAGTGATCAGACCTTTACTTGAAAGATCTCTAGGTAGCCCATTTCACTTTTGGACAGCTGTAATTGTCCAGAAATACTGTCATCAGACCTAAGTTTGTGTCTCCACAACTTGTTGCCCCTTGTTCTTTCCTCTGAGGCCAGTTAGTAGTAGTCTAATCCATTGTCCTCTTGTTTTCTCTTCAAATCCTAAACACAGCTATGTCCTTCCTGTCTTGTCCACACCAACAGATAGTCCTCTAATATCCTTAGTTCTCTCAATTAGTTCTTATAATCCAAGGATTCAAAACCCTTTGCTGTGCTTGTTGTCCTCATGGATGCTCTCCATTTTATCAATATCCTTAAATTGTACTGTGTTTTACACTACAAAGGGTCTATCATCTCTTTTATTTTTGGAAGCTACTCATCTCAATGGAGCAGCTAGCTGGTGCAGTGGATAAAGTGCCAGGCCTAGAGTTAGGCTGAAAGAATGGAGAAGAGTAAGTGGCCTAATTTAAACAAAAGGGAAAAAACCGCAAACTATAGGTTAATAAGCTTGACAACTCAGGGAAATTTCCTCAACAAATAATTAAAGAAATGCTTAGTAGACATCTGACATCTTTCTGAGTTCAAATCTGGCCTCAGACACTTAATAGCTGTGTGACCCTGGGCAAAT